CTTCCGTATGGTCGTACTACGGATTCGTATTAGCGTTTGCCCGCACACCTCCAACCCAGCAGCTGTCCAGGGTCTGGCTTGGCCAGGGTATCTTGGCAAGTCATTTACGACGGACGGGGGTGGGACGGTCCCCTGCGTCATCAACAGTCATAGGCAAGGCGAATCCCAATCCACCGAGATCGAGAAGAGACAAAGAGGAAGAGGCAGCAGCAGCAGAAGCAGAAGCAGAAGCAGAAGCAGCAGCAGCAGCAGCCCGGATATTACTCTGTACGAGAAACCTACGACACCACAGACAACACACACGCCCGCACACGACGCCGACGCCACCCAACAAACGGAAGCAGGGATGCCGTCGGTCGTCCGTGATAGCCGAGATACATACGCTCTACAGAGACAGCGCAGACCAGGTCATCGTCTACCTACAGACGATGCCGTCTACATACCATGTCTGACCGTTGAATGATGGCGAATCTGTACGGGTTGCGTCGCCGTCGTCGTACTCGTGCGTCATTTCATGTTGCTTTCTGAAGCTTGAGACTGCGGCATGGGACATGGCATGAGATAAAAGAGTCCAAGCCACCAAATGCTGGGGTCGCAGTCGAGTGAACCCCCCTCCTCCTCCTCTTCTCATGATATTCCGTACCACTCTTCTACGAAGGGATACGGTGATTGATGGCATCCGATCGACGCCCCCCCTCGTCGGCGTATACGACTGCGTCCTTTCTTTTCCCACAAACATGGGAGGATGGTGGGAAAGCCATCGTCGCTGCCACGAGGCATTCATGCGGCACAGAAAAGAAAGGAAATGGTACTCATTAGCAGGGGACTGAGAGGTGTGTGTATGTACCTCAGTGTGTGTGTGTGTGTGTGTGTGTGTGTGTGTGTGTGTTACGTCTATAAACATTACATTGCTCGTCACAGACCCAACAACGACTCAGACGATCCCATAATAATACGGTGCAATGCATCCATGCTAGGGCGCTAATTTATTGGCTGACCTAACCCTCCTAGCACACACACACACATACATACACACACACACACACACACACACGGGGTCACTTTCTCACTCACTCACTCACGGCGCACGCATCAGCATTCGCCAAAGGCCCCTTTCAACCAAGATAGATGGAGCTCAAAGGCTGGCCATTCATGGCGTCCGAACCCCTCCTCCTCGACGGGATCGATACCCACTTCTCTATGGGAGTGCGGATAGCACACCACCAAGAACGAGTATATGTACGGAGTGATACTACGGAGCACTACGAGTACGTATTGAACGAGAAATGCTGCGGAACCTACGGGGTACGTACGGGGGGGGCATGCCCTTTCAACCTCACCTTCTCGCTACGTGTTAGCTGCAGTACGGATACATGATACAGGTAGCATGCCTCGTTTCGCGTTACAATTTCCCTATCAGTGTCGGTGGTTCACTTGCATGAAAGAGGGAGTCGAAAAAGCAGATCTCACCACCGCCAACTTGTCCTCAGTACGGGTGTCTCTAGCACGGGCGTCCCTTTCCTAGCACGAGCGTCCCTAGTATGGACAGGTGCTGCTATTAACCTGCTAAGCAACGACCCATGTCAGCCCCAATCACATCCCAGATCATCATCATCAAGTTGACGCAACAAGGGGTGTGCAGTTCGTTTCCAAGTGGGGGGGGGGGGGCCCTGGAGGGGGCTGATGGCTTTTTTTTTTCAACGTCTTACTCGTATGTTCCGCACATATTCGTAACTTTTTTTTTCTTTTCTTTTTTTGCCATTTGCCATTTGGCCAACATTCAACTGGGTAGCGCACGTCCTGCGGACCTGTCCTACTTTACGATGGTATCAGTACGTAGCTGACCTGTTCTGCCAAGGCATCCCCCAGGCCGGGCGCGTCAACATTCCAGTCATTTCAGGGCAAAACCCCCAAAGACCTGGGATCTTGGACCTTCTCGTACTGGGATCCCGGTCAAGCCGCGCCGGATAAGAGGGTCTGATTATGACGGCGTGACGACCATGCTTTCCGTACGGAGTATTGCTAGGGTAATTCATCATTGTCTTGACTCTTTTCTGTACGAGTACGGAACATCTGTTGCCCCCTCCCTCTTCAAAGGCGGGGAGGAGCAAAAGGAGAAGATAGTACTGCATCTACTACTACTAATAATAATATACGGAATAATAGTAGTAGTCAGTACCTTGTACTGTGTATCCGTACTTTTGCGCATCGACTGCCTTGAACGGTCCTTTCTGTTTTAAACCAGGGTCCCTTCTTCTTCTCTCTCTTCTCTTCTTCTCTCTCTCTTCTCATCAACCGACGAGGAAACATGGTACGAGAATCATCGTTTTGGGGAAGAGGGTGATGACAGTTCAGGGCCTGTTTGCTCGATGGGCAATGTAATACTGTTACGTGACGATGCTGGCTTTTTGTCATGATGCCTCAAGCTGAGGGAGCTGTCTACTGTAAGTAGTAGTGTCCCACTACTATAGCATGTACTGCGATTACATGTACATGTAGTAATATCAGTACTCCGTAATATTCGTAAAGACGTACCGACAATGTGTGGTGGGAACAGAGGTGTCGTATTTTCGGATGGGTTCCCTCTTTTTTTTTTCTGTCTCCTCCAACCAGCCACATCAATGTTTGCCCTGGCTTGGTTGGCTTGGCCCTTTGCATTGGTCCTTGGCCTGAAGGTCGGTCTTGTCAATGGGCTTGGTTTCATATTGCCTTGCCTTGCGTCGCCTTGGCCCCTTTCCTCGTCGGTGCCGATGAGGGGAGTGTTGAAGTGTTCTGCAACACTGCATTGCCCTTGTACGAGCAAGCAGGAGCTGGGAAGGGCGACTAGAACGGAGTCGTAGTAGTAAGATTGGGTCGAGGTAAAGCGGCCATCCTTACATTCATCGGACCCAACAAGGACTCGACGATCAGACAGGAAAGAAGAATAGTCTTGTCCGTCTCATACTTTATCGGGAGAAGAAGGAGAAAGGGGGGACAATATGAAAGAAGGTAAGCGAGTCAGGACAGACAGACAATGGGAGGCAAATCCAAACCCCCAAACCCCAAACCCCAAACCCCAAACCCCCCCCCCCCCCAAAAAAAAAAAAGACACTATATAATATATGCTGAGGTATTATAGCTGGACCACTTACTAATACTACGACTACTAGTTATTTTGCGTTGATAGATACTACTGTCCGTCCGTCTTTCCAGCCTCGGGGACCAGAATCGGCCGATTTGATGAGACTGAGTCCTTCATCGGAGCCGATCTGTGCTTGATGTTGATCGGCAATATTGCCTGGTGTAGTAGACGTGATGACTTGATCTAATGGGATATGGAGTAAACGGGTTGTCAAAGGCAACTCTCAGCGAGAAGTGATGAGTGGTCTTCTCAAATCCGGGGGCTCAAATCCGGGGGCTCAAATCCGGGGGCTCAAGAAGTGGATGATATCTCGAGATTGTCTCCATGCTGGCAGATGGTGACCGTTGCAGAGAAATATCGCTTGATCCTCACCCGGCAACGGTTCAACCAATGACCGAGAACAGCTCTGACCTAGAATGTAGTGATGAAGCTTCGAGTCGGCCTTGATATTGATGGATATCCGCGTGGAAATCTGCGCCAGCAACATATAGGGTAAGTAACATCTTTTTTTTTTTTTTGAGATGGGAACTCCTACTAGGGCGGAGGCGTCTGAGGACCACTATTGCTAACAAAACCCCAACCCCCCTAAAAAAAAACCCAAGAGAAAAAAAAAACACATTTGACATACTTTATTAGCACCCCTCCTAAGCAGACTGGTAGGGATGATGCGACTTCCTGTACGTTGATCGGGCCGTTGCAGACGTCATTGCAGAGGCAGCCGTGGCAGAGTCAAAAACATACTCGCGATCTTGTACGGAGTAACTATGAGGGCTGTTGTAACCATCATGTATAACAGAGCTGTAATCATGCCAGGGCTGTAACTATAACTATGCTTGACATTTCACGCGAGGTGCTTCAAGAGATCTTCGACCATATGACTCTCTGCTTATCTCGACGTCTTTGGGGGGAGGCAATATAATCCGCACGAATTCGATGGAAAATGTCCGTTTCGAGAGGAACAGGAAACAATCTTGCCAATTGCGACATGTCATTTACTAGGCACGCCAAAACGGCAGCCATGGCTATCATCTGCTCAAACGCTCCTCCCTCGCCCTCGTAGTCGGAGCTGGCGATGATGCGGCCACGGCACCTACAACGACCATTCTGCCATCATCTCAATCCTTCGTATCCATCAGAGTGGTCTCACTCGCATGGTGGTGTACGAGCTCGGCTCACAGTGCGGCCTTACACAGAAGACGGATGATTAGATAGTCGAGAAGGAGGGAGGTCAAATTTCAAATCTTCCTTCCGCATCTGGTCATTCGCGATCTACTCACCAAGGCGCGGATGATGCGGGTCAGATATATCGGTACCATATCTGGTAGACTCGGGGAGAGAGAGAGAGAGAGAGAGAGAGAGAGAGAGAGCGACAAAAATCTGACGCGCACGGGATGAGTGGCATATCGCAACTGGGCTGCGTCACGGTATCCACATCGGAAGCGTCATGCCGTTCAGTTGCGGTGGTTCCCCCCGATTGACGTCCCTCTGAACTCTCAGGGCCAATCTGTGCCCCCCCTCCCTCGGACATGAACAACGGGGTTACGAAGATTTGGCAGAGATTGTGGGAAAAATTGGATCTTGGTCCAACATGACGCGTTTGGCAAAGAGATGGCGAGCGCGAATCGGAGGTCCGAGATGATTGCATTGTTGGTTTTTTTTTGGAGGGGTAATCATATACAACACATATACAAGCTGCACACATGACAACATCCAGGTGCATATAACATCGATAACCCCCCCCCCCTTTCCAACGCTCAGCTTGTCCGAAACTTGGGAGGAATTCCAGAGATACAAAATTCAGATCCATCACTACCATCAACAGCCATCTTTCTTTTACCACTTCACCGCAACTGTATAGGAGCCAACAGACAAGCCCAAAATGAAGAATTCAGCCACCCTTCTATACCCAAACGACATCGTCGGCCAGCGAGTGTCGTCATACTCCGAGTCCCACTCTACCCCCTTGCCGGCTCACATAACCGCTTACCATGACTTGGTCGGCAGGACCCGCCAGGACTCGTTCTTCATGATCTCGGATCTCCAGGCTCAGTTCCAGCTGTCCCTGGCGCGAATCCAGGGCGCCCGGCGCATCCTCGAGATAGGCGTCTACGTCGGCTACTCCTCTCTCGTATGGTCTCACGCCGTCGGTCCCCAGGGCTCCGTCACCGGCCTCGAGTTCGAGCAGAAGTATGCCGACCTGGCCAACAAGGCCTTTGCCGATAACGGTGTCAAGAATGTCGACATCAAGGTTGGAGATGCTCTCAAGACGTAAAGACCCCCCCCCCCCTCTCTCTCTCTCTCTCTCTCACCTCCCCTTATTGTGTGCGTGCGACTGAGATAAGAAGACGACAGCCTCCCCGACTTGAACCCCTCGGAACCATATGACATCATATTCATCGACGCCCAAAAGTCCGGATACCCAGAATACCTCGAGACAATCTTGTCTCAGTCCAGGCCCGGCTCGTCGTCCGGTCGCATCCTACGCCCCGGAGGCCTCATCATCGCAGACAACGTCCTCCGCAGGAGCCTCGTCGCCGACGACAGCGACGAAAACCCCCACGCTAAGGACTCCAAGGCCAGGGCCGAGAAGGAAGGTCGGGTCGAGGCCGCCCAGCTCGACCTCGTCAAGATTCGCGAGTACAATGACCTCGTTGTCAAGTCAGATAGGCTCGAGGCCTTCCTCCTGCCGCTGTTTGACGGCGTGAGCATTGCTAGGTTGTTGGATTGAGGGGGGCGCGCGCCTACCGAGGGTATGCAGAGAAATGTTACTCTAGCCGTATATTCATGCTACATATTTATCCAGTAACAATGTCACCGAAAGAACAAGTTCGTGCACACGGCCTCATTCACTCGCCGCGTCTGTGAATTCTGTGGCTGGCTGACTTCTCATCTCCTCCTTCTCCACTTCGCCTCTCGCAATGTCCCGCCACGTCTCCAGTCCCGTGTTGAGGACGAGGATGGGATTGATGCTTCCCTGGAAGTACCTCTCCCGTCGCGTAGACCCCCTCTCCCCACCCTCGAGGGCTGATAGCGCGCTCCTCGTGCTGCGCATGCGCTTCTTCTGTCCGCCTTCGCCGAGCAGGCTGCTGAGCCTTTTGCGGTCGTGCATCAGGCTCTGGTCGTATGACACGATGCTGCGCACCCATGGCGCCACATCCAGCACGATCATCCTGAGCGTGCGGTCAAAAACAGACGGGTCGAGGTGTGATGACGACGACGCCGCCGTCTCAGGTACGGCAATCGGGTCGAAGGCCAGGGAGAGGTCGTGCCTATTGAGCTTCCTCGGCTCCGTTGGCTGCCGCCTGAATGACGATTCGAGCAGCGCCACAAAGCGGCCTTCCGAGTACTGTCGAGGCTCTTTGGAGGTCGCGTCCGTCGTCTTGCGGGCCGCCGCCACCTGTCCGTTGTCTTCCTCTGAACGCTGTGAGGGGGAGTGCCGTTCTGGCCTCTTCCGTTGAGTGTGGTACCCCAGGTGGTGTATCGTCAAGTTAGATATCGAAGTCGTAATGTCGCTCATCAGCGAGTTGTGGTGCACCACAGGGTCTGCCTCGAGAAGTTGGCGCCCGCAGACGAAGTCCTCCTTGACTTTGGAGGGCATGTCGGGCAGGCTCGGATCCACCAGGTCCTGGAGCATACTTCCAAACATACCCTTGGAGCACATATCCATGTCACTCAGCAGCCCGCAGAATTCCTGATAGGCGTTGAGATCGGCAATTCGGTCCACTTTCGAGCCATTGCTGGATATCTCAGCGTTGATCACCCCCATGTCCAGTGGACTGGGCCAGTCACGCGCTTGCAGCTGCCAGTGGTGCCAGCATTGATTCAAGGCATCTAACTCAGTAGAGTACTCGTCAGACGAGGTGATAACATCGCGGGCTATCCAGCCCATGCCCTTAACGTACGTGTCCTTGCTGACAACGCGAACAACGTCCCCGTTTTCGTCTAGGTCGGAGCCCTTGGGCCATCGGAGGTAGAACCAATCGAACCCGCCTCGTCGGTCACCGACCCCAATCTGGCACCAGAAGTTCAGGTCGCTAATGGTTGCCCTCAAGTCGTTGCCTCGTGAGAGGTACAGGGCCTCGACGGCATCGCGCTGTAGCGAGTGCCCCTCGTTTGCGGCTATGAGGAGGCAGACATCGGCCGCGAGCTCCGACGGTGATGGTGAGAAGCGGAGGATGCCGTACAGATTCAGGTTCTGGATAGGGATGAAGTTCTCGTCGTTGCACGTTATGATGAAAGGTCTTTTAGACTGCGCCATCATCCCCACAAGTGTCGTCCAGAACTGCTTGTCCTCCTCGTAGAGGACGTCCGCCTCCTCGAGAAGGATCAGCGACTGCTTCTGTGCCTTGGGCGCCTGCTTGACATCCTCCTTGGTGCTGAGTCCCTTCTTGGCCGTCGGCTTCCTTGTTCCGGTGTCGGTCTTGGGTTTGAAGAAGGCCGTCATCATACCCTGCTTCCCGGACTTGACATCGTTTGCCGTCTCGTCGTCGGTCCCTTGCTCCGTATCCGTCGAACCGTCAGCTTGGTGCCGTTGTACTAGGTGGTTTCGCGTCATGTCGCCGACTCGTTCTAGCAAGTCCTTGCCGCTTCTCCTGCTGCCCGAGTTGATCTCAAACACTTCAAATCCCAACTCTTTGGCTACCGCATACACGGCTGCCGTCTTGCCGCTGCCGTGGGGACCACTTATGACAACGGTGTTAGGTAGTCTGCCGGCATTCTTTCTGCAGTTCGTCCTGATAACGGTCTTGGGACGAAATGCCGAGCCCGCCGGAGACCAGTCTGTCTCTTCCTCCGCTACCTCGTCCAGGTCATCCTCCTCCTCCTCGTCACTATCCACCACGAACCCATCGAGCTTGTTCTTGCGTCGCTTCCTCGGTGCCTTGTCCGCTTTATCCTTGGCCTTGCCACCCTCCCCGCCGCCAACTTCCACAGATTGAACCTTCAGCGTCTCCAGCCAGTGCCGCAGATATATGGCCTCTTTGCCAGCCTGAAGGACCTGGTCTGAGTTTGTGGGGGCGTATTTCTGAGCCCAGGTGCAGGTTTCGCAGGTCGATCGATCATAGGCAGAAAGGTTCGTCTCAAGCATCCTGAATAAATGTGCGACGGCAGGGTGTGTCGACCTTGGTGTGGGACCTGCAAGTTCGTCTAAGTCAGGGTCATCTTGCACAGGGCCCGGATAGCCCGTCAGGGTGCGCAGCTGAGGCCGTATCTCCTTCTGGAGCTTGCGGCCACTTTGGAAACGCCTTTTGGGTAGGCGTAGTTCGGGGGGCCTGGGCGCATTTTCCCAGTATGACTCCATGTGCAGCTGTGCCATGGTACAGTCATAGACGACATCCATGGGGTTGATGGTGACGACCTGGCTCTTGGACTTTTTCGACTTCTGGCGCGTCCACCATCCTTCTTCCAACTGCCTAGTCTCAAACTCGTCACCACGTACGTGAGCCATACCATGACTTGGCCATGCCGGGTGCATGGCTCCAGGAACCCTTGTCCCCACTGGCTTCGTGCTACCGAAATTGACCACCTTTGGTTGCGCAAAGGGATTCCTTTGTTTTCTGGGGGACTTTGGTGTGACCATGGATATGGTCTGTCTCTTCTGAGGCGGTGCCGTTTTGTGCTCGGTTGACTTCGTGTCATTCGGAGCTGGGTTCGTCTTTCTGGAGAATAAGGGATGCTTGCCCTTGGCCGTATCCTTGGACGCTCTTGACGGCCGCCCTTGTCCTCGCTTAGCTGGTTTGGGTGGCTGCTCAAGAATCTGGGTGATCCTTTGACCGAGCTCTGCACGTTTATTCCCATCTTGCTGATTGTATTTGATAGTGACTATCCGTGACGGCGGTTTGCTCTGCGGTGCTTTCGGCGGTGAGCCCAAGGTCCCCGTTTTGGGATTGAACCTGATGACTTTGGAATTGTGTGCCGAGACACCGAGGCTATCGGCCGATGCGGCAGATTTGATTTGAACGGTATCGGTGGGTGTGTTGGCAGGGCTCAGTTTGTTAATGTTGCTGGGCATATCGCCGAGAGGCGACGTGAATGCCCGTTCGGGCAGCGGAGTGTGGACGTGCTCGGGTTGGAATGGTTTCGCAAAGTGTTTTGTGATGGATGCCTGCACATTGTTCTGGGTGCCGCGCACATCAAGGCGCTGCTTCTTCGGATCTGGGACATGCTGTCTCTCTGAGGAGTTGCCTCCCTGTCTCTTCCTGGATTCAGTCGAGGCACCGAATTCGGGGTCTCGAGAATCTCTAGGCTGAGCAGAGCCCGTGGAAGACGTGCATGCTAGAGGTGTATTTAACGCAGCTTCCGGCTCGCGAGCGAAAAAAGGGTGAAGCTTCTTGGCTTCCGCCTGGTTGGCTGTTTCTTGAACCATGGCCTCGACAGACATGGGTCCCAGCGGCACGGCACGAGGAGTGTCGAGGGCCGTTCAATCGTGCGAAGAAATCATTGGCGTGAATCGAATGACTGCAAGAATAAAGGAGGCTTTTGAGAGTTTTAGAGTGTTGCAGCAGCGGATAAGATGAGGTGCTGCCACGATATAAGAGAAGTGTTGAAAACCAGGGTGGGAAGGTGATGAGTGTCGCCCTACTTTACGAGTAAGTAATGCTTCAGAGTTATCACGGTTTAATGGGGAGGGAAGCGCGTTCGCCCTAACGCGTCGCGCCTTTCCCTGACGTACGACAGGATGTGAATGGGGGAAAAAGGTACATATATAAAGTACCAGGATTACCGACGCCTGCCCCACCTCTTTCGGATTTTGGTTCGGCCCGCCTTATCGATAAGACGACTATTGCCTGAATTTTTTTTTGCCCGCCAAAAAGTTTCAAGCCGACGATCGACCCAAGAGAGGCACTACACCACTCAGCAAGATCTGGAGCAATTGCCATTGTGCATCTACACAGGTCATACTGCTTATCCGTTGATTTCTAGCGGCTAAATAAATTGCAGTCATGACCTCTGTGTATAGAATACACAGGCCGTATGTCCTGGCGACTCTGCCTCGGCCCTTGGACCACACGGCGGGCAACATTGTCGCAAAGGAAGTCTACGGCCAGAGGGACGGTCAGAGGAGGAAGAGGTCTGAGCTAGCTGTCGGTGTTGATGGTGAGGCCGTGAGCATATACGATGTAAGTACCCGGTAATAATTTGGTTCCTATTGAGCTCTGTTCTCTCTCTCTCCATGATTGCTTACTTATATGTATACATGCATCAGGTCCCGGGTTCTCGCCTCGTCACGTCGTACCCCATTCCCCCGCAGGAATCCTTCACCTGCCCTCCTTACTCTCTTCGTGTACGACGCTCGGGAAGCACCGACGTGATCCGCTATACCTTCTTGGCGACGAGGGACACTGTTTCGCACAAGATCACCCTTTTCAAAGACGTTGTGCACCACGACGGAAAAACGACGTCGACGACCGAATATCGAGTGCTGCGCAACTCACCCGTGCGCTACCTGACCACATCCAGCGCCTCGCAGACCTCGGTTATCGGCGACGTCATTGCCGTCTGCGAGAATGGCGAAGTCATAAACCTGTCCGGCGAGACCCTGGCCATCCGCTGGTCCTCGTCGTCCATGTCGGCCGTGCAGGATGCCTCGGCGTCGGGCTCGGTGGTGGACAGGCTGCACATTGATTTTGTCACGTCGGGATCACTTGCCGATTTCAGCGACGGCATGTTCAAGAACCACCCGGAGGTGTACACGGCTATGCCCAAGGCTGTCACGACGGATCCCACTATCCTTGTCCTCGTCTCGAGGAGCGTGAGCCACGGCCAGGAGAGCCGTCACCTGCTTGTCGTCGCCGTGTCGCCCAACGACGGCGCCAACGAGGCTCAGAGGCTGATACCCCTCGACGTGGCCCCCATACCTCTGACGGAGGAGTCGACAGCTGGCGAGGCCGGCAGCTACCAGTTCGAGGCGCAGTCCGGAACGCTCCTGCAGCTCCTCCGCGGCTCACTGATGGTCTATGACCTGAGCGGCGCGGTACCCAAGCTCAAGTCCGTCATCCAGATGGGCGACGCCGTGACCTTTGCCAGGCTCTCGCGCCCGTTTGTCCTCTCTAGTTCCCTCGAGTCCCTGGGACTTTACAACTACCAGTACCGCTCCGTGCACGCCAGCACGCCGCTGGACCTGTCTGAGCTACCTGCAGAGAACCGGGATGCGCGCTCCTGCCATATCATCAGCTACCTGCGCAGCCAGGATCTGGCCCTGGCGCTGATTGACAACGTGCTGGTGTGCATCCACGTGGAGCCGCCCAAGAGCAACGGCAGGAGCCGCAAGGCCGGCATGCTCATCGATTCGATCGGGCGCGGCACGGCTGTGGAGCTGCCACCCAAGAAGGCCAAGCTGGACCACACGTCGCCCGAGTTCTCGCACAAGGTGCCGGGGACCATGACGGAGTCGTACCTGGCCGAGTTCAACGGCGACGTCGAGTCGCTGGACAAGCTGCTCAGCAACAACGACGTGTTGGAGTGGGAGGAGAAGATGCGCCGGAAGCTGAACATGGCATTGAAGTCGGACGAGGCTGGTGGGTCGGACGAGTTTCAAGCTACGGGCAACCAGCAGCAGCAGCAGCAGCAGCAGCAGCAGCAGCAGCAGAGTGCAGAGGATATGGCACCCGAGTGGGACTGGCACCTTGAGCCCTCGGCGTATCCGGCGGTGGACCGGCGGTGGATCATCTACGCCATCAGCCGGGTGTTTACGACGGAGACGGTACCGGCGGAGCAGCCCCGTCTGGGCCTCAGACTGATGATTGGCGGGTCTCAGGTGACGACATACCTCGCGCTAGCGGGCCACCTGACGCTGTCCAACGTGAGGTCGGCGTTCCGCGACGAGCTGGAGGCGCAGCCGGTCGAGACTAAGACTCTGGCGCACGACTTGATCGCCTCGCTTGTAGAGACGGACGAGACCATGACACTACTGCTCAACTACCTGCGCGCCACCAAGTTGGGAGAGGTGGAGGTCCTCCTCGCGATACGGGAGCTGATGGTGAGCATGGGGCTCATCCCGACCAAGAATACCACCGCCACCGCAGAGTCTACAACCAAGCTCCTGACGGACGATGCGCAGAGCCGAGAGCCGACGACTACGGAAGGCGCTGCCAAAGACGAGGACAATGACGAGATGGAGCTGGACGACCTGGAGCGCAAGATTGCCGCGACGGAGATCTACCTCGGCGACGAGAGCAGCACGCGGTCGCGCGGGCTGACACTGGCATTCACCAAGCTGTGGCGGCTGCCGGCGCGGTCGACGGTCAAGGCGCTGCGGGCGTCGCTCAGCATCCGCGAGATGCTCTCGCTCATCCACCTCCTGCGCGTGGAGCTGGTGCAGGGTGCGTGGACGTCTCTGTACATTGACGCGACGACGTTTGACGTGGACGGGAGCAACGAGCCGCCGCCCGACGGGGTCATCTCGCTCATCTCGGACCTTCTGGGCCGGTGCCTCGACGCCGTGGGCGTGGGCGGCTGGCTCCTCAACGACGCCGTGGGCGGCAGCGACGGTCACGGCACCGAGTCGTCCGTTCCCGCCGCAGCCGCCTCCGTGAGCAGCGACTTCCTCTCAGCCCTGAAACTCGAGGTCACGGCCGCGCTGGAGGGCATCGAGGAGGCCGTCCGGCTCGGTGGGGTGGTGGGCGAGTCGGTGCGCTACGGTGTGGCTGCCCAGAAGGGTGGTGCGGGTCGGCAGTCGTGGAACACGAACAAGCCGGTACCCATCCTTGTCGAGGGGGGTGAGGAGTCGCGCATGCTGCCCCTCGGCCTCAAGGTCAAGCAGCTGCCTTCTAGGGACAAGATTGTATCTGGTGGAGAGCTTGTGCAGAGGAATACGCGTGAGATGGGACATTTGCTCAGTCAAAAGGTTGAGCCGTACTCTCTTGAAAAGCTGGTTGTATAACCAGAGAGGGAGGAGTTTTTGCTGTTTTTGGCCCTGATCTCCTACAATCTTGTTTATAGAGATGAGGATGTAGCTACTACGAATGTTTTTTTTTTTTTAAGATACATATTCATGCACCATAGAGACACAACACAGAGAGCTATCCGGAGTCTTTCGTCCTCACTACAACTTACTGGTAGTATTTGGATACAATGACAGGCCAAGACGAGTTGTGGGTCTGTCATCGAAGGGGTCGAAAAGACTTGAACAGAGCTCGTGTGGACATGCTGCAATGGAGCGGGGCAAGAAACGAATGCGAAGTTGAGAATGGTGCGTATTACAGTACGTAGCAAACATACCGTCGTAGTTACATGGAGTAGCTGCTGTCTATTAGGCATATATTATCAGTGATTATGATACTGCATGTACCAGTACTATGTACTAGTAATATGCACCCTCGACATGGAAGTGCACATTAGCTGAACCTCTTTGGTTCAAACTGTCTGGCCGCCAAGTCAAACCGTTCATGGGCATTTGCCACCACTTACAACGGGAGGCGTGGTGGTGAGCTGGTAAGCCAGACCTCATGACTGGTGATGATTGTTTGCCCCCCTCTCTACCTCTGTGTGTGCGAGCCTAGATAGGTAGAAGGATACAGAGGATATGTCGGTTGATGTGGGAGGCGGATGCACGTACAAGGGTTGGTGTGGCATCCACCAACCTGTACTAAGCACGATCCCGGTTTGTTTGCGAGTGGCGCCACACGTTGAGGTCCAGTTGACACAAGGCATCCTCAAGGGCGTCTTCGACGAGGTAGTGGAGAAATGCAATGATGCCCTTTGTCAGCAATAGTAACCAGCACTGCTGCCACAGCTAGTACGGAGTCCTTGTGTATGTATTAGTAGCATAATAGCGTTGAACTATTTGCTGGTAGAATCGGCGGCCCATAGCGTCGAGACGGCGATGTCGATGATTGGCATCGGGTATAGTAGAAGACGAGGAAGATGAAGATGAGTACGGAGTATTCGGATTGAAGGACTGATGCAACGGCCATACGTATTCGTAGATGACGTACAAAGACAAGGGACCTAAATCAAAGGAGCCATAATAGTTGAAGACAACCAACCCAAGGGTCCAATCCATTGCCACACAGATATTATCAATACGTACGAAAAACGGGGGTTGAAGTGGCTGAGGCGCGAGGATACTTGCCAATAACCAGTAACCAGCACAGACCAGGCTGCAGCAGGCTGCACATGCACGAGGCCAAGAGTACGAGTAGACGAATAAAGAATGTCTTCGTCCCCATCGTGTGTGCAGCCGTGAATCATCAAAGTGCGTGACTCAGCCTTGTTCGTTCGTCGTTGCCATCTCTATTTCTGTCAGTTCTGCGTTTTTGGCGGCTGCCTGCGTAATGGAAAAGATGCCTGAGGCGATAATGGGGGGTCATTGATGGGCACAATGATGTCATCATGTCTTGGTCTTTGATGCCCCTCATCTACTCCTCCACAATCCCGATTCACCAAAACGGCTCCACACCAACATCCCACATCCATACGGAGAGCTCCATCATGGTCAGGGTGGTCCAGCCCAGTTCAGCGCCCAGGCCATCTAATCCAGTATCAGACGTAGTCAGACTATACAGCCACATATTATAACCGGTACCGCTTGGAACAAAACACCATGTCCAATCACACCCCCGATGACACAGGAGCCCACGCCCGGCTTCTCTTATGCCCCATTGTCAGCATCCACTTGAGCCTCAACTCCCCTTTTGTCTTCTACTAACTCTCATCCTCTTTCTTCTTTCTTCTTTGCCTCTTTTCGTATCCACCTGCTAGTTCGTTGCAGGTAACTCTGAAACGAGGGGGGTATATTTTTACACAACCACGATAGCGCATACTAGTAGAGAGTACATATATATCCACCAGTGCCCTTCTCTGCTATAGCCTTGACATCAACTCGCGTCAGCCTTTTGCATCACCACCACGCTATAGCCATGACTAGCAGGCTGGTGGCACCACCGTCAGTGGAGCAGCACATTGACACGGTCGACACATTTGCCCGCACGCTCTACCTGCGAAACAAAGACGCACCCATCGTCGCCGACGCCGTACGCCAGCTGCACGCCGGTCTCCGCCACTTACGTGTTGAGGTCACGGATCCCGACTCGCCCCTCAGCAGGTCCTTGTATACGAACCGCGTGCAGATCCTGCCTCTCGTAGACGAGTGCGGTGCTTCGCTGAGGCAGCTCGCGGATGCTCTCGACGATGGCCGCCGCGCGGACCAGATGGCCGGCACCGTGCGTCGGCTGAGGGAACGCATCGATAACGTTCTTGATGCCGTGCAGCTGCAGGATCGTGCATCCGCGCCATTCTTGCCGAATGCCATCGACGCTCGCGGTGGATCGCAATCGTCAGTGGCTCTCGACGACATCAAGAACAAGGTCGACAACGTCGCCCGATCCATCTTCCCCCGGCGTGATAGTGGCTTCGAAGACGACGATAGCGAGGACAGGCTGTGGCGAGAGTTCCAATCCCGGCTTGAGCATGAGGGTTTCCACCGAGAAGTATTACAGAAGCACAGGGTATGTAAGATTTGATATTTCCTTTTGAGGAGAGTCCAGACTATCTCTTGTCTCTTTGTCTGTCCTCTCATCTTTTTTTTTCTGTCTCTTTTTATGTGTCTCTTTTTATTTCGTGCCCTGCTCCTCTCTATTTGGTGTTCCATGCATAATTGACAACTGATATCAGGACCTTCTGCGGGCCTACATACGCAGCCTGGAGGCCATGCAGTCGAGGAATGACGATGGTACCCCACCGACCGTTCAGGGCCTCCTCGAATACGAGGCCAGGTCCTTGCCACCAAACGAGCTGATATATCCAGGAATTGAGAATGTGCAGTATGCCATGCCCGCCGAGGATAAGATTCCTACAAAGACAGACTGTATCCCTCCTCCAGTTCCTCAGAAGATCCCTCTTCCAGAGTTGCCACTGCCAGACGGGGCACGAGGTAACATCAACGACGATAACTACAAAGAGAACAAGGACAAGCCAAAGTCCTGTCCACCCGAGCGCAGCGCCTCAACCGCCCTCATATTGACCCGTGATCTTGTCGAGATGGACAGTTCTGATCTTGACGTCGCTCGACATATACGTATTGCCCCTCAACACCAGCAACAACACCTCCGAGCATTGTACGGGAGCCCTCAACAGAGATACCTTCTCCCCAGCAGCACACCAGGAGGCCTACCTGAAGCCCCCGATAAGAGTGACTCTATCGAGCTTTCAATCTCTCCAACCGTCCCCCAGGACCAGCTCAGCGCCTCGCCAGTGTGCACTACTGGGCCGATTGAAACGGCAACAGGCTCACCGAGCTTCCATCTCGCGCCAGACAGCTACGGCAACGAGATACCGATGGATGCCCCGTGGACGCGCATCAGCCGCGACCGCGTCAGCCCCGAGGTCCTCGAGAGGGCCGGGGTGCGCTATGAGGCTCGCCGCACCTACGTGGCTGTCCTGGGTCGCCTATCGCGCGATCAGATCGAGGACTATGCTCGCCAGACTACCGACTGCCGCGCCGCTCGCCATCTGCGCCATGCATCTGCGTCTGCGTATGATAAGAAGTCCCTAGGAGGCAGGCGTGGCCATGAAAACAGTAGCAGCAGCGGGAGTGGCAGCAGCGGTAGCAGCGAGAGCGACGAGCTGCGGGACTCTACCAATGACGATGACGGCTACGGCAACGACAGGGGCACCGACCCGTACCCTTACATTGTCAGCCCCCCCATCAAACAAAAGACGTCCCCTTCCAGCACCGTGATGCCCAAGTCGATTCTCAAGAACAAGAATGAGAACCACGTCCGCTTCGGCCCGGCTTACGAGATGAGCCCGCGCTCCTCTGCCACCAGCATGAGCGACGACGAGCGCAGCAGGAGACGCAGTCACCACCACCGTGACAGTCGTGGTTATCGCAACGACTACGATGACTACGGCGACAAAAGCCAAGACTGTGCTCGCCGTCGTCGTCCAAGGAGGTACAACAACACTGGCGGCAGCACCTACCACGACGACCGCGACAGGCCGCACCACCGCCACCACCGCCACCAGGACAAGGACGGTCACCATGACTCCTATTCCCGACGACAGGATCACTCTGGCAGTGGGTCGTCTAAAAAAAAGCAGTGGGGTGGCACCCTCGGTGCAGTCGGCATCGGCGGTGTTGCTGTCAGTCTGCTCAGCGTTCTGGCTGAGGCAGCGGGTGGTTGATTTTCCACCTTTATTTTTCACTTTGACTCCATCATCATTCTACACCTACTATTCTACCGTGTTCAATTTTTACTCTCCCTCTCTCTCTCGTTTCCCTTCCTTTTTCTTCTTCTCTCTTTTCTCATTTTTTCTCTATTTTTATTTTTAGTTTTCTTCTGCTTCCAGTTACGTTTGTTCTACCCAACCTCTGTACCTTTTTTTTCTTTTCCTTTCCAACCTTTTTATGACTTATGACAAACAGATTGGGGAAAAAAAGGAGCATGCATACTGATGAAAATGATTACTACTTAGTAATAGTACTTTTCTTTTTTGCGGTCATGAATATATCAACGAGACGGTTCTCAGATCAATAATCACATAGAGGGGTCAGATATCAATTGAGATGTAGCAGTTTGAACCAGTCACATAACGAGTCAAAATCCACGTCTGTCCCGCTGCCACAGTCGCATAATGATACTTGGTTGCCATGCCGGGGAAAAATGTTGACCATGATCCACTTGCGATCCAAAAAAAGAAAAGCCAGTGTCACATCATGAGCTGCATCTTCACATCGCCCCACCACCTCCTCCTATCGGCCTGGGCAGCCCCCTTCACGGGCGGGCAGGCTACATCGGCTATCCTCGTCCTGGGCGTTCTCCTGCGCTGCAAGACGCGCAAGGGCTCCACGACGGGCCACTCAAAGTCCGGGTTCTCGACAAAGGCCGGCCCGACGCCCGGCATGGCACGCGGATTTCCGTGTCTATCGACGGCGTCCAGACCGACGAGGTGAGAGCCCAGCTTGGCAGGGAGGACACGTCTCTCCACCTCGTCCATGGACGCCCATCGACAGCGGGAAGCCTCACGGTCGACATGGCGGATGGACACCTCGCCCGTCGCCGTGCGGTAGCGCACACCCCTGTAGAACAGGTGGGGGAAGTCGCGTACGAGGTTGGGGATGAGGGCCGTGGTAACGGTGCTGCGGCGCAGACGGGAGACCTGGGACGTCGTGCGGAGGATGTCGTCGAGCCAGATGGCCATCCGGTTGGCCACGTGGTCCTTTTTCGTTTCCAGCTGGCGACGACGGTGGATGGCCTTCGAGATTGTCGATGATGATGACGACGACGATGATGGAGAGAAGGAGGCAGCATCCTTGAGGAGTATCTCGTCGAATAGGGCGGTCTCGAACTCCGTGACGAGAGAGTCGTGGTAGGGCACAGCGGAGTGGCGGATGAGGCTGATGGCTCTGCGGACGCGACGTGTGATTATCAGGCTGCGGATGTGCACATCCAGATCCTCGAAGGACGGCTCGACGGCGTACGGCTCCGACACCATTACACGCCACACATGCAGGACGTCGCGGGTGTCGACGTGGGCGTCGCGGCCGGTGGGGTGGATGCGCCGCATTCGCCGCAGCTTCTTGGACGCGCCGACGTACGTCCAGCTGAGAAGGGAGGACCACACGTCGCGCGGGATGGGCAGCCCGTAGCGCCGCGAGACGAAGTCCACTAGCTGCATGGCTAGGGACACCTCGGCCATTGATCCCAGGGACTCGACGAGGGCGGCCATGAGGCGGGGTGTGGGGCGCAGGGGCGAGCCGGGTAGGAAGTCTCTGCCGCCCGTGATGGGCCGCGCCTCGTCGTCGTCGACGAGTATCCCGTACTGGTCGGCCAGGATGCGCCCGAGGATGGCCTGCCGGTCGTTGGACCGCGCCAGACCGACCATGTCGGCGCACAGGAGCTCCTCGGTCGCCATGTTGGGGTACGACTGCTGCCGGACGAGGTGACTCCAGAAGCTGCGGTAGGGCTGGGCGTCAGCTCCGCGCGTCACGCTCCTCTTTGCGCGCAGCAGCCGGCGGGGCTCGGTGGAAGGGTCGTCGGGTCGTCTGTTCCACGGCTCGCGCTGGAAGGCGTTGACGCTCAGACGGATGCGGTCGAGCCTCGTGACGGAGTCGTGGCGGTCTGCTGCCGCTGACAGGTCCCTCCCTGTGAGGACGTCCCGAGGGTCGACGGCCACGCGCGCCCGGTCGAACTGATAGTACGTCGGGTCGAGGAGGTAGCGGGCCTTGAGGAACTCGATCCACGTCCGCGTCGTGCGGAGGGACGTGAGCCCGTGGTCGTGCATGGCGCCGAAGACGGCGACGGCGGCGCGGAAGTCGACCGCCGCGCCTACGCAGCGCAGCATGGCGTCAAAGTCGGCCGGTCGCAGGGCAAAGTAGTGTCGCCTGCCGTCCTCTCGACCGTGCGGTCCCGATGGTTGCTGCTCATGCTGTTGCCTCTCCCGAAGATGCAGGATGGCCATGACGCCCTGCAGGACGCGCACGTGGTGCAGCCGCATGCCGAACCGGTCCATCAGCTTGCCCACGTCCGTCACCTGTGCGTGGCCCTGGCTGACCGTCAGCCCGTGGGCTATGTCGAGATCGGGGTTGACGATCGGGTCCACGCTGCGCAGAACCTCGGATAGGACAGGGCTGGGGAGGTTGGCCAGCTGGGATACCGCTGCGTCGTGGCATGGTGAGGACGCGTCCCGTAGGGCGTCGGTCCAGCGTAGGAAGGCGGCAGTCTTGGCTGCGGCATCTTTTCGTCGGATCGCCTCTAGGAGCGCGAGCGTCAGTCTCGGTGGTGACGACGACGACGATGATTCTGCTGCCGCTGCCGCGGTCTTGTCTGCCGACACGGACTCTAGGAAAGATGCATGCCGTCGTCGTCGTTGTTGTTGTTGTGGAGATGTCGTCTGGCCCCTAGACTGACACTGGGTCCACGGTCGGCGGATCTGATGTGGAGCCGCTAAAGGTGGGGAGGAGAGACACCATGAACTATTAGTGTTTAAGGGACGTCGCGCCATGGCTTTTGGGCATTTCACGAAATAAGAGGGAATTGGAAAAAAAATGGAAAAGAGAGGGAAAGGAGGAAAAGAAAAAAAAGAAAAAAAGAAAACAACTCAGATTGCAATGAGAGAAACAACAAAACGCACATTTGTGCTTCCTACCTGGATATTGTCTCCCGGTCACACACTCGTTAAGCTGGGGAAGATGCAGGGGTCTGTGCCGTGTACAAGGTATGCATATATACAAAGCATCGAGTATGGGGTAATATACATTGGATAGATGCATATTGTACCACTGCAGCTGACTAACCAGGTCAGAAGATGTACCGGAAATTTCCCGTAGCAGTGGGCATCACCCACGCAACGAGCGGGACAAGAGAAGCTCTCGTGGGCATCGACCCAATTCTGCACCACAAGGCCAAATCTCACTTCTCTCCATTAATCCTCACCTTCTCCCCCCCCCCCCCCCCCCCCCTCTCCAGGAAAACCGTGGTCACCTGACTACTCCTCCCCGTACCTCCCACCTCAGAACAGAACAGCCATGGCCGACGTCGGTGACGAATCCAGCCACGTGTCGGAGCCCCTCGACCTCGTGCGCCTGCTGCTGAACGAGGTCGTCTTCGTCAAGCTGAGGGGTGATAGGGAGCTCAAGGGCAAGCTGCATGTGAGTCATCCGGTCACCTGCTCGGCTCTGTACTCTTCCCCTGTGCTGACACTGTCCCAAAGGCCTACGATAGCCATTGCAACTTGATTCTGGGCGAGGTTGAGGAGACGATCTACGCCGTGGACGATGAGGATGATGACGAGGAGGCCAAGGTAATGACTCGTCAACTTGTGCGCATGTGCAGATTACGGATACTGACACACTCATGCTAGACGATAAGCCGGAAATCGGAGATGCTCTTTGTACGAGGTGAGACTTGATCTTTCATTGTTGAGATCCGTGACTCTGGGGTGCTGACATTCCTTTACAGGTGATAGTGTTGTCTTGATCTCTCCGCAGGTGCCGTTCTGAGACGGGAAAAGGCCGTCAACGGGGATGGCTTGAACTTTACGGGCAGAAAAGAAGATGGAACAACTGTCATCTAGCCAGTGTTGAACCCCGGTCATGTCCTGAAGAGAAGCTCGTGATGAAGTGGGCTCTTGGGACAGATGGGGGAACAGAGCGAGACGAAACAACGTCTCGGTTCTCTCTCGATAAGAGGTAGGCAGAAAAGGAAAAAAAACAAAGAAAAAAAAAACTTGTATGCCGTTATGGGCTGGTATATATGACTTGATGATACCTAGACGTTTCAGAATAAAAACAAGAGAAAAGAAAAGAAACAACCAAACATCTTCTGTCCCCTCTATTCACTGTCACGCGTAGGAACTTGACTGTCGATGGGAACATCAACATCCCCCTGTCAAAAAAAAAAAAAAAAAGTCAGCTGATCGATAAGAAACTGATTGGAGCCGAGCCAGGAGCGCAGAGAGAGGGAGTGAGAGAGGGAGGGAGGGAGAGAGGGAGAGAGAGAGAGCATTGATAAAAATACGAGTATTGCTCGTACTCGTAGAAGTATGACTCTCTTGGCCGACGCCCTCTCCTCGACAAGAGGCAACAGTCCAGTCACGTTCCCGACCGTTTTCTCTGGTTGTGGGAGGTGCTTGTTTCGCTTTAACTTTTTTAGCCCTTGACTTGTCCCTCATCTCCTCGTCTCTCTCAATCTCTCTCAAGAGATGATGCTGATTTAATTCACCCTTTATTCGTTTTTTCTAAATTTACAAATAGTTACCCCATCGTATGAACATACCTACCGCTGCTCTGTACTGCTTCTATTGCTAGCATCACCACTTCACCACTGCCGTTCCTACTTCTACTGCAAAGGCCTCAATGATCACCCGAATATCTGCAACTCAAGCGTGTCGCATTACACGACGCGGCTGACAGAATGTCTGACAAGGCAAAAAAGAATCAACCCCGTGAGACTAGAGGCAAAGGTGAATCTGTACGTCACACACACACACAACGTGGGGGACCGCCGCCCATCTCCGCTTCATCATTCCTGACCGCATCACCATCTACTTCACACTCCATGCGCAGCAGAGACTGACCTCTGTCAAAATGCACAGGCTCTCAGCGCTTTCGCAGAATACGTCGAGGAGCAGCAAAACATACGATACCCCTCGAGACAGCAGGCATCCACCACCACCATCACCGCAACCGCTCCAGGAAACGCACCGCCCGATCATGTCCACCACGAGGAGCTAGACGAGCTCTTTGACAACCTCGACCTCGACGACCAGAGCCACCAGGTACCCCTCAGAAGCCTCCTCCTAGGAAGAGGTGCTGCTGCTGCTGCTGCTGCTGCGCCCGCATCCGCCTCCGCTGCCGGCAATGACGAATCGCTAGAGAAGCTACAGAACGTCGTGGCGGATCGTATAGCCGAGGGCTTCGGCGAGGCCGTCCTGGAGATCGGCTACGAGAACAGTGGCGAGTCGATGCAGCTCAGCATAGATGAGTGGAACACGGCGTACGCGCGCCTCCAGGAGGCCGCACATCTGGCCCGCGCCTCCTGCCAGCTCCTCATCACCAAGAATGTCGGCGGCGCCGTCGAGAGCTCTTCCACCACCGGCGACGCCGCCAACGTCTCGACGAAGCCCGGGAGGGGCGGGGAGAGCAATACCTGGTGCTCTGGCAAGGTACTCATCCGCCAGCTGCCAAGAGACATCAAGGAGGTTATCGAGACGCGCATCGCCGTCGTGGGGAACGGTATGCTTCCCTCCACCTCCCCCCCCCCCCCCCCCCCCTTCCTCTCTCTACCCCCTGACGGTTTGCCGGAGCTGTCTTGCTCATGTGCTGACGGAACCTGGCAGTGGACGCCGGCAAGAGTTCCATGCTGGGTGTTCTGGTCAAGGGGGACCTGGACGACGGACGAGGAAAGGCCAGGGTCAACCTCTTCCGCCACAAGCACGAGATCGAGTCCGGCCGCACCAGTTCGGTCGGCATGGAGATAATGGGATTCGACAGCACCGGAAAGATTGTCAGCTCGGATGTACCTGGACGTGAGTTTTTCCTCTCATCATTGCGTTTATTTTCAAATCCCATCTTGCTCGTGTCCCCTTCTGCTTCTGATCCATCTCCTCCTGACACTCGGCAACCCAAAAAGGCAAGCTTTCGTGGGAAGAGATTGGCAAGCGGAGCGCCAAGGTGATAAGCTTCACGGACCTGGCAGGTCACGAAAAGTACCTCCGCACGACGGTCTTCGGCCTCCTATCGAGCAGTCCCAACTACTGCCTGCTGATGGTGGCGGCCAACAACGGGCTGGTGGGCATGAGCAAGGAGCACCTGGGGATCGCGCTGGCGCTCAACGTGCCGGTCATGGTGGTGGTGACCAAGATCGACATCTGCCCGCCCAACATACTGGAGGAGACGATCTCGCAGATCATCAAGATCATGAAGAGCCCCGGAGCGCGCAAGATGCCGACCTTCATCCGCGACCGCGAGACGTGCGTCAACACGGCAACCCAGTTCGTCAGCCAGCGCATCTGCCCCGTCTTCCTCGTGTCCAACGTCACCGGCGAGTCGCTCGATCTGGTCCGCACCTTCCTCAACATCCTCCCCCACCACGGCCGCTACAACTCCGACGCACCCTTTGAATTCCACGTCAATGACATCTTCTCCGTGCCCTTCGCCGGAACCGTCGTCTCCGGCATCGTGCGGTCCGGCGTCGCACACGAGGGAGACGCCGTCCTCGTCGGCCCAGACGCCCTCGGCCAGTTCGTCCAGACATCCATCCGCTCCATCGAGCGGAAGAGGATCCGCGTCCCCGCCGTCTCCGCCGGCCAATCCGCCTCCTTTGCCATAAGGAAGATGAAACGTAAGGAGGTCAGGAAGGGAATGGTTGTCCTGCCAAAGTTGGAAGGTCAACCTGCTCCCAAGGTCTATAACGAATTTGTCGCCGAGGGTAAATCTCTCTCTCTCTCTCTCTCTCTCTCTCTCTATCCTTATCTCTCATCCTCTCTTGTCTTCGCCTTTCCCCCCCCCCCCGCCCCCCCCCGCTCAGAAAACTGACAGACAAACGACAGTCCTCATCCTATCCCACACCACCACCATCAAGAAACACTACCAGGCAACACTGCACGTCGGCCCCGTCCAGCAGACGTGCGCCATCATAGACATTGACCGCGAGCTCATCCGCACCGGCGACCGCGCCACCGTGGCCTTCCGCTTCGTCCAGAGACCAGAGTATCTCGTCCCAGGAGACAGGTTACTCTTCCGCGAGGGTCATACAAAGGGTCTCGGTATAGTCAAGTCCATCGGCTACGATGCTTCGAAACCTCTCAGGGAGCAATCTCAGTCTCAGTCTCATCAAGGGCCGGAGGCGTCATCGTGAACCCCTCTTTGGGGGGAGATTGATATGCTCACCAGCGAAAATAGCCCATCGGCCTCTCCTCCTCCTCCTTATTCTTCTCCTATCAGATATATTTTAGCCCAGAATTTTACAGGGTTTTACCAACGTCTTAGCATATTTTCTGACTGATGATTTTACACCACCCCCCCCAAAACAAAATTTTCTTCCTCTTCTTTGGTTGCGAATAAAATTCTTAGTTTTTCGTTTAGTTGTCCTTTTCGACGCTCACGTTATATATCGACTGTTTTTATTCCGCCTGCGGGACGCCTGTGGGAAAATGCCAATTTTGAAACCTTGCCGAGGTTTCAAGCCCCCACCCCCCCACCCCCTACTTCTTATACTAGAAACAGGAAGATGAAGACGAGAGGATAAGATGACATGTGAAGATACTTGGAAACAACTGCCATAGAGTTACACCATTTTCTGATACCAAACGGTCACTTGCCGTGGTAATCCTCGGGAATGACGTATACGATGTCGTGGCAGATCAATGCATGGTGATGGTGCACTTGCTCATTAGCAAAGCTTTAGCATAGACACGGAAAGTACGGAAAAATCCGTCAGTGACATTGAGGCATCAACGGTACGAGGCAAAACATCAACTCCAGATCATCCAGATCGTCAAACGATAGGTATTCATCTCCGTCATTGATATTCAATGACATCCGTCGCCTTCCGTCACGTACATCTTCCGCGGTAGCTACTAGTGAATCTTTCCTCATAATCCTCGAAACTCGTCTCATCATGTCTGGTATTTTCAATCAATAGACACCCTGTCATTTTCCCAATCCAAAAAAATAATTGCAGTCTTTTTTTTGTATATGCCCAATCTTCCCCTTTCTGTAGAAAAACGCCAAGCAGGAGCGGAGAAAAAAAAGACGGTAAAGAAGGCAATGAAAACTCCCGTCGTATTTCCACATGTCGCATTGCCAACAAAACGAAAAAAAAAAAAGAGATGTCTGGGGTATCGAAATATTCCTGGAGGTCTGTAATGCAAATTTGGATACACGTACAGGCTCTATCTCGCCGCGGGAGTCTGGTTTGTCGGCGGCCTGTCCAGATGGAGATCGATCATTGGGCGATTTATCTCCATGCTTCGGCTCTGCATGCGTCCGCCGGGGGTGCGGGGGTGCACCACGTTGACGCGTCCCGATCTCTCGAGGATGCGCGGGGGCGTCTCATCCGAGTCCGAGCTAGAGTCGTCTTCAATGTTCCCGTAGCCGTGTTCGGCAAGCCTGGAAAAATAGTCTGCCATGCCGTCTACGCTGGGCGTACCGATGATGGCGTCGTACTGAGGCGGAGGAGTCATCAGAGGTGCCTGCGTGGCATCCTCCTGGTGCCGGGGCGGGGCGATGTCGTCGTCAAAGGCTGGCGGGTTGAACGAGGGCGTTCGTAAAAGATGGATCGGTCGAGGCTCATTTGTGGCGGCGTTGTTGCGTGCCCGATTGGCCGGGTTTGCCGTGGCGCCGGGCAGATGGGCCGCCTGCGGAAGCGACGGGAGGGCCTCCACACCCCGCCCTTCCGCACCCGACAGCGTCCCGGTGGAGGAGCTCGGCGACGCCCCGGCGGGAACGCTCGTCGCATCCGGGCATCCGCACGAGCTCTGGTACATCTGGCCCTGGGTTTGGTTACCGGTGTAGGCCGGCAGTACCGTGTTGGCCTGGGTAGCCCTGCAGTTGAGGACGGTAAAGGGCGAGTCGATGCTGATCTCAAAGTGACGACGCTTGGTCCCCGTCGGGTCTCCGGGATCCTGGCGGCTGATGCGCATCACAATCTTCATCTGCGTTAGCGTGGTCTCATATCCTCCGTCGATGCACACAGGGTGAGGTGACCGATTACCTTGAGCCAGTGGTAGACATTGATATTCTTCCAGCTGCAGTCGGGGTGTAGCCTGAGCTCCTTGCTCTTGGCCATCATCTCGCACGTGGGAATCTGAACGTTGGCCTCAATCTCAGTCGATCCCCAGTAGCTCTCCAGACCGAGATCCAGGTCTCCCAGGATGTTGTCCGATGGCGGCGGCAGCGGCTGGGGCGCCTGCTGCCCCCTGGCAGCCTCGTGGGCACGCCTCCTGGCCGCCAGCTCCCTCGCCTCGTGCCGCTCGCCGCTCGACAGCTCACCGCCACGGACGGTCCGCAGGTCCGATGAAGCCCAGGCGCTGTCCAGCGGCTTTCCGGCGCTCTTCTCGAGCAGCAGGACCTTGCGACCGGGGTCTTTGCGGGTGACCCGCCTGTCCTTGGTCCAGTACTCGACGGTCTCGGTGGCAAAGACCTTGAGCTTGTGCACCTGAACCTTGGCGAGGGGCGTCAGCTTGAAGGCGATCGGTATCTTCCCACCAATGGGAAAGCTCTTGCCCGAGATGACGATGTCGTAGTGCAGCTGGTCCTCCCACTGCCGGCTGATGGAGATGGGTTCCGACATCTCCAGAGACATCTGGTCGGGGATGCGGACGATGGGCACCTCGAGGGAGCCGTGCAGGTTTGGCTTGAAGGCGCCGGCGCGGTCGACGGTGGCACGGAGCTCCCACCTGACGGATCCGTACTGGAGCTTGGTCGTCTCGAGCTGGTGATGGTCGATGGGTAGTTCGAACGAGTAGTCGTAGCGGCCGGGGTGGAAGATCTTGAAGCCCTTGGCCTGCGTCGAGGTCGTGTTCGCATCGGCGTCCTTGCCGAAACTCCGAGACTGGGCGCTCTGCAGCGAGAGACGCTTCAGGTCCCTGGACGTGAGGGACATGCGTGCGGAGGGGGGCAGAGGGTCGAGGACGAGGTAGGTGGCGGCAGACCTGGAGGGTTCCGGGGGGTCCTTGAGCTTGTATGTGCATTGGTTGCCGTATTCCGTCTCCCAACGGTCATTCATGGCGTTGAAAAAGGTCAGGACCTGGTTTGCGAGGCTCTGCTCCTCGTAGACGTCCTGCTTCAGGGGCGGGATGCCTTCGGGCCACTCTGTGCGGGCACGGCCGACGAGCTCGAGCTGGACGGCCTTGAGCTTGACGTTTTTCGTGACGTTGAGCTGCAGTTTACCGCGCAGGAGGGCGGTGCCGGCGCGCGTCTCTCGTCGGGCGTGGCCGTCGTGGTCGAAGCCGGAGAGGAAGACGTTTGGCTCTGCGAGGATGATGGAGCAGGAGATGCCACCCCCAGAGGCCAGAGACTTGGGGGTCTCTGAGACGTGGGTCGAGAGCGACGGCTTGCCGGTGCGGATCGACATCAGGCTGTTGCGCTTTGCGGCCAGACTGATACCGTTGGGCCTCGGGCGAAGTTGTGGTTGGGGTGCAGCAGACGTCGGTGTCGAGCCCGTCGTCGGTGCTGTAGCTGTGGCTGTGGCTGGGGCCGCTGGAGCCGCGGATGCCGCGGGTGGTGCTCGCGTGTCGCTGGATGCGGGGCGGTCGCCAAGGTTGGTGGCCGACGCTGTGGCCGATGCTGTAGCCGTTGCCGAGGCCGATGTCGAGTTTGTCGACGGGTTGTCGTCGGTGGTCGGCGGCGTGTGTGAGGGACGGCGGCGACTTATTAGGGACAAGGAACGTTGGATGGCGGATTGGGACTGTGTGTGGGATGGGGTTTGGGGTGTTTGGGGTTGGGTGTCGGTGGTGGGTGTGGCGGTGTCGGAGGCTTGGCTTGCCCGGTGGCCTGGTGAAGTCATGGACGGTACCCCTGTCGCGGGAGAGCGATCGATGACGGGGGCTTCAAGCAGCGTGGGGATGGAGTGGCGACGGTCGGATGATTTGTGGGAATTGTGGTTTGAAAAAGATGCCCAAATTTTCCCCAAAGAAGGACGGGTATCATTAAGAGAACGATCGGACGGCTCTCCAAAGGATCGTCCAACGGGCTGTTCGGAGGGCCGTTGAGGCGGCCGATCAGATGGCTGCTGAGATGGCTGCTGAGGTGGCTGATCAGATGGCTGACGCGGGAGCTGTGACTGTGGCGATGACGAATCTCTAGCGTTGCTGATTCGGCGTTTGGCCTTGACCGCCCGAACCTTGAAGCTCCGTGAGCGTGACGACTGGCCGGGCCTAGGACGCAGCTCTGGCGGAACGTAGCCGGGGGGGTAGGTGACGATGTGAATTGAATGAGGTCGCGTGCGTCGGGGCTCGATGAGCGGCCTTGGGAACTGTGCAGTGGTAGAAGATGACTTTCTCTTACTCCTGTTGCTGGCCCGGTAGAAGACGTTGCCAGAATGAGCAGTAATCCACGAGTTGGATTGGCAGGGTGAGTCTCGGTGATTCGCTGGCATCGCTGTCAACCCTCTGGAGGTGGTTCTCTTGGGTAATACTTTTTTTTTTCTCTTGGCAACCTCTCTCTCTCTCTCTCTCAAAGAAGGCTGTGGGGAAGAAAAGGGGGAAGGAGAGGCCCGTGGGGCGGCGAAGGGGGCTGCGTGCCTATTCGAGTGGAAGCAGGGAAAAGGGCAGGATTGGTGTCTGGCAACCAGTCGACAGGTCTCGTGGACCGGGGAAGGAGGACGAGGCGCAGCGTGTGCTGCTGCTTCCCGATGCTGATGGGAAGATGCTGCTGACGGCGATGGCGGGCGGTGCGGCCTGTCGTCTGGTTGTCTGGCTGTCTGGGTGCTTGGCAAGCAGGAAGGTGTACCGCGACCGCGACCGTGCCACTAAGCAGGAGGATGCATGTAGGGGAAACAACAAACAAGCGGGAATTGGGGCGGTGATGGGACGGGATGAGGTGTAGTGCATGTACGGACGATGGGTGAGTCCGGTGTAGCGGCAATGTTTCTACGATGAAGCAAGCGGAGAAGATGGAATAAGCAAGACACGAGCGAAACGGGAAAGAGGAAGGAAGATGGAGGGAGGGATAGAGAAAAAAAATTGAAGAAGCGGAAGACGGTGGTGCTGGTGCCGGTAGCTTCCTTCCCTTACACGAGCACAAGACAAGATCCGCAGGAGAGGACGATGCAGGCTCATGGGCGATGACGGTGCTCCGTATCATTCATCAGCTGGGGCCTGACGGCCTGGGGGAGCCAGCGGAGAGCCGAGCCGGGGTTTGGGTGAACGCTCGTGCCGTGCTGTGTGCTGTGTGCTGTTCTCATGGTGCTCTGCATGGCATCAGTAGCCAGCCGTGTAATTCCACGGTACATGTACACGAGTGGCTAAACCGCTTGGCCGTCTGCAGCATCCGGTCCGGTACGGATAGTCGCAGGACTACTCGTAGGGGGACGGATACATGTTCTGGTACTACCTGTAGTAGTACCTGCACACCCACCAGGTGCTCGTGCTGGACCTTCACAGGCTAGCGGTACAGGCCTGGACAGGCCTGGACAGGTCTGCAATGCAGCGGGCACTTACTCGCAAGTACATGATAATAGCGCAGCTGGGGGTGGGAGAGCATCGACACCGGGGGGGTGAGACATGACGCGGACGATCAACACGATCAACGTAGGTTGATATGGGTCCCCGGCAGTGATGTCACTGTCCAGATTCCAACGACAACCAGTGGGGAGAGGCCCCGGGGACCTCCCCTGTGGCCCCTGCCCGGGACTATTACCACCACCTGCCGCCCGCAAATGCCACCGACTCCCAGCGGGGGGACACTTTTGGGGGCGGGGGGGAGGCTTCTGTCAGCCGGAACGGAGCCTCCCCAGGCTGTCAACAGCGGTCTCTCACTCCCTAGACGATCCAGATGACCGCCAAGGTGCCCTAGAAAGGACTCCACCGTATTATGTGAGGCTCCCACTTGGTGATGATATAGCGTAGCACTGTCAATGCTGCACGGCGGAGGGGATACATGTAATGCACTCCGTCCTTCCCCACCACTCACCAGACTGAAGTCCTTTCATCATCGACGATCGTCACCCACCCACCACACCAAGGTCACCGCCATCACCACCACCACCACCACCAGAGGAAAAAGAAGAGACGTTCCAGAGCCGACGAGAGGTGACAGGGGTTCGATAGCGGGGAAGCACTTGCTCAGCATTGGTCCGGTACCCAGAAAAAAAATGGGCCACCCGCTTCTCTCGACCTGACAATTTTCAAGTTGGTGCCTGTTCCGTCTGGCCTGGTGTTTTTTCTTTCCCCTCTTTTTTTATTATTATTCGTTTTTTTTTATCTGGTTCTGGGTTTGGGGGTTTTTATTATTATTATTGTGCGTGTGCGAGGATTGACCTCGCACTTGCGGGGAGATTTGCACAACCACCCACTCATCTTGGGGAGGGCAGTATGCGGGAAGTGGCACGCCAACGAAGACCACAAAACAGCGAGACAGAGATCCGAGAGACTGCGGGAGAGAGAAGGAGCAAGGAATAAAGGAGGAGGATGAGGCTCACCCGGATGATCAAGTCCCGTACGTGATGTGGTGGTGGCAGACTTGCTGATAGTAACCACTAGTAAGGCTCGAGGGCTCGAAGCTAGTAATATCCGGCCGGTATATGACTCATGAGAGACAGTGACGGAGAGATGAATTCGTGTGGGTCGCAAGTGTCTCGTTGCTCAGCGATACCGACGCAGGGCACGAGACTAAGGACGGCTTCCAGCTCAGCACTCTCGGTCGGCCGACGGCAGGCAGGTAGAGGAGGAGGTGATGGGAGGCGGTCGTGACGAGGGCCGGATGGTAAGTAAAGGAGATGGCGTTTCGTCCGCGTGAGAGTTGTGCGTGTGCATGCGTGTGCGCGTCGTTGTGGGTGTGTGTGGTGCCACCCGGCGGATGATCATGGACTATCACTAGATTCCAGACGCGAACAAGACCAAAGGACGACTGGGGTATTAATATTTCCCCCCTCCCCCCTTCCCCCCTCCCCGGCCCCCTGTTCCTCGACCCCTCAGGACTCTCGCGCCGTCTGTCAGTAACGATTGCGACCTGTGCAGGTGGGGGGAAAGAAAACACCGCCCGGTACGAAGGAGGGAAGGGTGCTGTAAGGTGGCGCGCGGTGTCATTTTCCACCCAGACCTGCAGCATCTTCATCCCGGTAGTACCGCGCGCCCACCAGCTGCGTGATAAAATACGTACGGTACGGGTCACGAGTCAAAGCACGGAGGAGCTTGGCCTGACGACGACGGATGCCACTCACAGAATGGATCAGGCCCCGAATCCGACCGGAGGCCAACTGTAGCTTTGCTGCCTCGGCCATGGACCGGGAACAGCACGTGCGGCTCAAATCCCAGAGATACTTACTCGTGTGGGTACATCCCCAAAGTCTCCCTGCTCGCCGCCTTCCGAGTCGACTCGGGTGAAGAGTGAGCATACGGAGTGAATACCTGTGCGGTAGGGAGTATACAGAGCTGAGAGCTCGCGAACTCGGCATTCGTTCACGGAGAAGACGGAGACATTCAAATGCACGGGACCCGCAGCGAAATCCTTGACTCGCCCTCTCTGACAGCATTGCCAGCATTATCACGTCGCGGATGATAGATAGTAGCTCACCATTGGTGTGTTTCTACTCACGCATTATATGAGTACGGCTACTACTAGCAGTATCAGTACGTACGGGTATCCCACCAGAGATATCCCACCAGAGAAGAGACGGATGAGAAAGAAGAAGAAAAAAAGACGGAAGAAGGGAAGAGGAGACTCGTCACTCTCGATCCTTTCCGATGAACGGCGGCTGTGGGGAAGGAGGGGGGGGGGTGTACAGGGCCGACTGCGGATCTTGGACGCTAGCACTCATTTTCTTCTTGTCTTTTATCTTGTCTGCAGCAGCAGCACATGTTACTTCCCTCTTCAAAATTGAGGCGTTACTTCTTGTAGAATTATGTCGTACCATGGCTGCATGGCCATCACCGGCTATGACCTGACCTGTTCTATCTCACCGGGTTGGGCGGACCGCTCCGGATGGTTCGGTTGTACTTTACACTCTACCCACAACCCACCTCGGCAAGACAAGGCCGACTTTTCCAATCAAGCCGCAAGCCACTTCGGATACGAGGCATAGCAAAAGGTGCCGATCCGGCAGGATGCCGACAATTCCACTGTCCAATGTGTCCCCTCCGGAAAGCGCGGTTACAGTGCATCTGCCACGGGTATACGCTAAGTTGTGTATTCATTCTCGTGATATTCTGCAGACCCAGAATCACCCGTACACATGAGTCCCCTCCCATCATTCACAGATATCAAAATCAGCCGAGTTAGACCCTCTGTCAAGAGAAGGGAAGAGAGAAGAAGAGAAGAGGGAGGGCGGGGAGGGGGGAGAGGAAGAAGTCAAGCCATATAGATGATGAAAGAGTATCAGACAAGCTCAGCCACTCGTCTTCTCGACCTGCTTCGCCTCGCTGGCAGCATCACCAGCCTTGGGTTCCCCGACCTTTTCGGAGGAAGCCTCCTGACCGGCGTCCAGCAGGGCCGTCAGGCCAATGTCCCTCTCGATCCTCTCCTTGAGGTCAGCATCGGCCTGTGCGTGGCCGGCCTCACCGAACAGCTCGTCCATCTCTTCGAGGCTCCTCCCCTTCGTCTCCGGGACGAAGAAGTAGACCCACACGGCGCCTACGGTTGTGATGGCACCAAAGAAGATCTGGACAAGGTGTCAGGGGATGCATCGATAACGGTAGCACGGTAGCACGGTAGCAGCAGCAACGGCGGTGACGACGGTGACGGATGACTTACAAAGGCTCCGAATTGGCTAGCTGCAATGAATGGCGAAGTCGACATGGCGACGGCAAACTAGAAAGGTGGAAGGGGGGGGAAAGAATGGTCAGGACTACCTCTTACTGTACAGATATCGGTATGATTCGTAGTAGGTGGTAGAGAGAAGAAGAAGAGAGAAAAATAAAGACTCACATTGTTAAGCCAGTTTGACTGACCGCCCAGACTGACGCCCTTGGCCCTCATTCCCAGGGGAAACACCTCGCTGATGATGATCCACGAGACGGGGCCCCACGAGAAGCCGAAGCAGGCGGCGTAGATCCAGACGAAGACGACGGCGGCCCACCCGGCGCCGCGGTGGTCCTCCCAGTCGCCGCTGAAGGATCCGGTGATGCCGGCGACGATGAAGTGCGAGGCCGCCATGCCAACCCCGCCGGCGATGAGGATGGTCTTGCGGCCGAAGCGGTCGACGAACAGGACGGCCGGCACCGTGGCCAGGAACATGACGATGCCGACCACGCCCGTGGCCAGCAGCGACGTCGTCGACCCGCCCAGGCCCAGGCCCTGGAAGATGAAGGGCGCGTAGTACAGGATCGCGTTGACCCCGTTCCACTGCTGGAACACCATGGTGACGACGGCCACGATCGTGCGCCTGCGCAGGGACGGGTCCGTGACGAGGGAGAGGTAGTCGTGCAGACCGATCATGAAGTTGGCGCGGAAGTCCGTGCTCCTGCTTCCGTCGCTGTCGCCGTTGCCGTCGTGGCCTTGGTGGTACTGGGGGAACTTGGCGGCCAGACGGGCCCGCTCAAAGTCTCGGAGGGCCTTGATCTCGAGAAACTCGATGCGGACGCGCATGTCCGTCTCGGGAGCGCCGCGCAGACGGGCCAGCGTGCTCAGGCACTCGGCCTCGCGGTCGCGGTTCATCAGGTGCCGCGGGCTCTGGGGCATGAAGGCCACCATGCCGACCGCTAGGATGGTCGACGGTAGCAGCTGGATGCACACGGGGACGATCCAGGCTGCGTCGGACTGGGAGGAACCTGTTCCTCCGATGAAGTTTGTCCCATATCCGATCCCTGTGCTTGTTTAGTACGCTGTATTTTTTTCTCTCCCCCTCTTCTCCTTGGCCTCAGGGAAGTGTGCACACGTGTCGAAGAGTGTTTAGGTACAAAGGGGGGGAGGGAGAGAGGGAGAGGAGGAGAGAGGGAGAGAGAGGGAGAAAGCTTACAGTAAGACACCATGATACCGAAAGTGATAGCAAGCTGCTGCAGAGCGACGAGAGCGCCGCGTACCTCGGGAGGAGCCAGCTCGGCATTGTACCTGTACGGACAAGTGTAAGCGTCATGGAGAGAGAGAGAGAGAGAGAGAGAGAGAGAGAGAGAGAGAGAGAGAGAGAGAGAGAGAGAGAGAGAGAGAGGAGGAGGAGAGAGTAGGGATCAGATGTCGCATCCTAGACTGACAAAGGAACAAGCATGCTGAAAGAGCCGACGCCGATACCGGTGACGAACCGTCCACCCAGGACGTAATCCTTATTGGTAGTGCAGGCCTGGACGATGACGCCGATGGTGAAGATGGCGCACGCAATGACGACGGTGATGCGGCGCCCGGCGGCGTCGGCGAGGTATCCGTTTATAAGGGCGCCTATCCAGGCTCCCAGCTCTAGGATGGCGGTGAGGAGTGCTTGACGTGTTCCCGTTGCTCCGCTATACCATGGTTCCATCTGCGTGTGCGTGCGCGTTCGTTTTATTTTATTTTAATAATTCTTCTTTTTCAAAGATACTCGGTGCCCATCTTGTCCTCCCCTCCGGCCGTCATCGTTTCCTGGGGCGTAGGGCTGGAGCGGTGCTTACCCGGCTGGTAAAGGATGACATTGTCAGGATCTGACCAAACATGCCTTGGTTGTCTAGAGGGCGGTTTCGTTTCGACGGACGTTAGCACCTGTACGATCTCTCGACAGCCAGCTCTCCGCTGCACCTGTATGAGGTCCGAGGCCGTGCGAGTGTGGTCAGGGTGAGGTGGGAGGAGACATACATCCGTAGACAAACCCTCCCAGGGCAGCAAACGTGGCTATGGCAGACGTCTTGCCATTCTGGATGATGCCCTTGATGCCAGACGGTCCAGAGAACTGTGCTCGTTTGGATGATGCCGATATGCCGGGGGGCGACATGTTCAGGCCGCGTTGTTCTGGTCTCTGCTGTATATCAGCTGTTCTTCTCTGTTCTGTCGTCCAAGTCTTGGCTCGCGTTTGGTGTACAATGCGCCGAGCCGTTCTCTCTTCTCTGCTCAATCTCGTCTCGATACTATCTAGTACTTGCGGCCGGAGACCAGAGAGGGCAGACACAGGTGGACGGAGAACACGGATACCATCTTTATATGCATATACGCACCCCGCCTCGCATCTCTCACATCATCCGGATCGTGGGGGATATGGAGCTGTCAGTCCCCCAACGGTGACGAATTTAGCCTAAATGCAAGGGTCCGGGGTCCGGGGTGATTGAGAATGCGGGGTGTATTATTGCTACGTATTCTACAGATTACATGTAGCCGTACTCTGATCCTTGATTCGGCAGACCGTACTTCTGGACTCGTGCTCGTGAGGGGTAATAGTGGTAATAGTCGATACTATCGGGGCTTAGTCTTGTTAGGATGTTATTCACTCATCATCGTGCCATCCATCAACCCTGTCATCATGTCACTCCAACCCCAACCATGCTACTACCATCAACATGCAACCCTGTATGATACCTATACCCGTATCGGCATAAACATGCTCATGCTATCTGGGAACGCTTCTTGGCAAATTCGCCGAGCAGCATATCCCTCACGTGCCTGTCAGTGATGGGCATATCCCCCAGTATCACCGTCTTCCCGTCCTTGTCTTGCCCCATCATCTTTTCTCGTCTGACTTCCTCCTCGGTTGCCCACCGCCAAGCCGAGTGCTCATTGTGATCGAGCTTGACTCTCAACTCCACTTCTGTTTTCTCGCTGCGCTCGCCCGTCCTTACAGGAATTCCATCTTCGCTGCGCTGGCTATCCTCGCCTCGCTCGCCCGTCCTTCCAGAGATCCCATCTCCGCTACTGCGCTGGTCGTCTTCGCCCATCTCATCATCGTTGCAAACCTCAACCTCAAACACCACGGCGACGAAGACCCTCTCCCCCGTCCTATTCTTGAACGTCCTCCTCCCCTCGACAACCTCCCTGACCACGCGCGTGGCCACCAGGCCGGCCTCCTCGTACAGCTCCCTCGCGCACGCGTTCAGGATGGAGGCGTCCTCGGCGTCTACGCCGCCGCCCGGCGGCTCCCACCTGTTTGGCATGCTGTCGTGTGCTGCTCTCTTGAGGAGCAGGATACGTCGTCTCTCCTGGTCCGTGTCGAATACGATGGCGCTCGTCATCAGACCGTTCAGCATGGTCCCCTGCGCGGCCTGGCTGTCTAGCCATCTGGTTCGGGGGACGTCCCATCCTGACAGGTCTTCGGATCGGCTGAAGGGAAACTTGGGTTGGAATGCCATCCTTCTTTCGTTCCTCTTTCAGGACTTCGCCCCTTTGCTGTTCGGAGGTAGGGAGGAGAGAAGATACGTTTCGGTTGTCGGTGTGTTTGACATGAGTGGTGTGGATGAGAGAGAGGGGAAAAGGGGGAAAGAGACATATTCCTTGTTGGAGACGTGCGGGGAAACTCCCCTCGAAACAGTCACATAACAGGTGCAGTAGCAGTCCATTTCACGTCCTACTCAGTAACCACATGCATCGTAGCTGCAATAGCACATCTGATTTCATACAACTAACCCAGACCGTCCCCCAAACGTAAATACAAGTTACATAGTACACATGTGCGCCTTTGCTCCCCAAATTCCCTCTTGCTAAAGAAAAAAAAGAAAAAAAAATGCCTTTCATAGCAGTCCACCAGCAGCACCTGGACTGCCAAAGGAAAACAAGTTCCTGGTCTGGTGAGAAGAGAAGGCAAGAAAGAAGCGACCAAAGACTAAAACAGATCACGCTTGCTTGATTGCCATCATTGTGAAAGAGGCATTGCATTCCTAGACCAAGAAAAAAAAGAGGAGAAAAAAAATTAAAAAAACCAGCACATCTTTTGCATGGGACTCAGTCTTACACACTCCTTCACAACCCCCCCTCCCCCCACATCTTTCCTCTTCACATTCACACCGACAAAACAGACTTCTCCGCTCGCGCCTTGGTGTGATTGGCCTGCGTCTCGAGGCACTGCGCAGTGAGGTGAGTCACCGGCCAGACGGCTGCTTTGTCCAGACTATACGCCGTTACACGCAAGATCCGCGCGGCGAGCCCTGAATGCCCGTCGCCTCCGGACATGCTGGCATCACTGCCATTGGTGCCAGCCATGTTGAGCTTCATCTTGGTCTCGGCCGACATCAGAAGCTCCTCGACCTTGTTGAGCAGCTTGACGTCCTCTTCTTCCAGCAACAGGATAGCCGGCACCTGCGTGTAGTCGACATTGTCCTGTCCGAGCACTCCCAGGTAGCTGCCCACGCGGTCCTGCAGCGTCGCCACCCACTCGCCCAGCACCTGGGCGCAGTCGAAGGCGCACATGACGGCCTGCAGCGGCAGTTTCTGGACTGTCTGCTCCGAGAACACCAGTCCCATCCTGTCCGCCATGGACAGGGAGTCGGCCGCGAAGAAGGCTGCCTTGCGCAGATGAATCTCCCGCCGCGACGCCTCTGAGCTGTGGCTGGAACCCGCATCTCTCTGCGTCGGATCCAACGACAGCGTCTCCGTCATGGGCGAGTTCATGTAGAACGATGGCGGGCCCGGCATCGACCTGTCTGCCCCGTCGGCACCATTCGCCTTGTCCGAGTGGTCGGAATTTTGCGCCATGTCGGTGCCGCGTGACAGCTCGTCAGCCATGCCATCCCAGTCCCTCTGCCAGAACTTCTCCTTGGACCTTGACAGGTTGACAAACAGCCTGATGTATGCCAGGTCCAGCAGCGGGATGCAGTCGGCCGATAGCGGGCCCAGCCCAAACGGGTTCGGGCGCTCGACGCTGTGCTTGGGGTTGCTCGCCCAGGCCGCCTGCCACGCCCTGAGCGCCGGCTCAATGTGCCGGTGCATCTTCTCCGTCTCCTCGTTGGTCCACACCTTGTTATGGTGCCTCTGCCGAGTCTCCCAGATGTAGTTGTGAAGCGCATTGATCAGGATCATGCAGCCAAACGTGCTGGGCTTCAGGTCCGTCTGGGGCAGCTGCTCGCTTTCCTCGGGACCGCCGAGTCCGAGGTTGTGCTGTTTCTGCTGCTGCTGGATTTGTTGCCTCTTCTGCCTCTCGTTCGTCCGTAGAAGCTCGCCGAGCGCATCGTGGAAAGACATGCGGTTGTGGTTGGCGGCCCTGTCACCACCCATGGCGGTGAAGGCGCTGCTCGATTCCGCCGAGAAGAACTCCTCGTCCGACGGCAGGTCGAGGAAGATTTCCGAGTTGGTGAGCGCCGGTGCGTGGTTGTAGGCTGAGACGAGCAGGCTAGACATGACAAAGACGGCATACAGAGTGCGCTTGCGCTCTTCGGCCGTCTTCCACTTGAGCCACTGCTGCTGCTCCTCCTGCTCCGTCTTGATTTCGCTCCACATGCCGTCGTCCACCATGACCGTGTCCTGCTGCTCCGTGGGGCGCAGCAGCTCGGCCGCCTGAGCGAGGCTCACCAGGGCCGCACAGTGTGTCGATGCGATGTCACCGGCCGTCTTGTCGCCGCAGTTATGGCCATACACAACATTGAGCAGCATGGCCTGCACGAGCCATACGGGCGTGTGGGGGGGCGGGGCGCCATTATGACCGTGGTGGTCGAGAACCCCACCCGCTGTGCTGCTGCGGCGCGCGTCGGCCTTGCGCACGTCAGCCTTGCGGCGCTCTTCGAGGTAGTAGAAAATCATCTTCTTAGCCATCTTGAACAGCTCCTGAGCCTGGGCATGTTCGTTCTCGTAGAGGGCGCCGATGGCGGCCATAGATACAATCAGGCAACCGCTGCCGCCAACACCATTGGTGCGGCCGCTGAGCGGCGAGTTGGGGTCAAAGGTCAAAGTGGGGACATGGAGAAATGGAAGATGAGGATGGAAGAAGCCGAGATAGGCGCCGACAAAGCGCTGCAGATCCTGGGTGCTGGGGACCTCAGCAGCCTGGCTGGCGGGGCCGCCGGCCGTCTGGTATCCTGGAGACTGCGGCGATCCCTGGGCGGTGAAGGAGTATCTACGGCCGCCATAGGGTAAGCTTTGGGACAGAGCGTTCACAATGGTGGTCCTGGTGGCATCTGTAATGGTTGTTACGGGCGATGGCGAGGCGCCGCCGTGGTTGCCGCCGCTAGGGGACGACGGCGTATCCGGGCCTGCGGCGGCGGCATTGAAGCCTAGGGTTTGATTCATGCTTTGCGTCTTGAGGCCTGGCACAGCTGAGGGGCTCAACGAGCTCATGGAGGGAGGGGGCGTGGACAAGTACGGGTCATTGGTGGTCTTTTGAGAAGCTGGCTGAGGTGACAAAGGAGCCCCGTTGAGGAGGTCCGGGAAGACTGACCCACTGAGATCCAGGGCAAAGGGATTTGGCATCTGTGGCGGGCCCATGACAGATGGCTGCCACATGGCGCTCGTCCCGGCCGGTGCCCTGTGGTTTGATCCATCCAACATAACATCGCTTATCCCGCTCTGGCTCGTAGTACTGATGGCCGAGGGGCTCGATTCCTCCACCACATTTTCATTCGCAAACGACATAGTGTTCTCGAACCCGGTCAGCCAGTCAAAGTTGTCATCGAGGGGTGCACTCGACGGCATGTCTCCGAGCGAATTACCAAAGGGCGACGCCTGGTTGTTCATGGCCATGGACGGTGGCGAGTCGTTGTAGTGCAGGGCGTTTGGGTTGATGGTGGATGACGACATGCTGGTACCAAACATGAGCGTCTCGAGGTCGAAGTCGGGGTTGAAGGCGGCCATGGGGGGAGCGGTGCGGAGGTTTCCGACGGAGAAGTCGTTGACGGCGTTGGACTGGGCTGTCTCGATCTTGAGGCCGTGGTGCATGCCGCCCCGCTGAGCGTTCATGGCGGCGGCCATGCCACCAAACGTGTGGTCGAATCCGTGGAGGGGCAGGCCGGCGAGACTGGGGTGGCGGCTGTGACCGTGGCCGTGGCCGTGGCCCTGGGGCATCCTCGGAGGGGCGATCGAGTTGTTGCTGTTGTTGCTGGCAGCGGCAATCATCTGCATGGCACTCTGGTCAACGTGACTGATTGTGTTGGCACGGGGCCTCATTGTGTTGGAGGCGGCTCCATTGGTCCCGGTAGCATTGGCGACGCTGTTCTTGCGCGCGCGGCTCTGGGCGGGGTTACCGCTAGTCGACTCGCGACGATTTCGTGGGCGCGCAGATGGCGTGGAAGACTGGTGCAGCTTTTGCTGGTGACGCAGCAACAAGTCACGGCGAGCGAAGCATCGTGCGCATTCAGGACACTCAAAGGGTTTCTCCTTTGTGTGGGAGCGCTCGTGACGCTTGAGATGCTCGAGACGGGCAAAGGAACGCTGGCAGGTGGCGCAGACGTGAGGACGGGGCTTATCGGTCTTGGGGGGAGGGAAGTTGTTGGAGACGGCCGCGGTGGCCTTTGTGGTGTTGACAGTGATTGAAGAAGCTGAGGTGGTGGGAGGGTCCATGTCAGCACGAGAGAAAGAGAAGGAGCTTCGGACAAGATTAAAGAAGAGAGGAAACAAAGGCACCACACAAAACAATTGCACCCTCTGTTGGACCCGAGCTCCTTAAATTGAGACGACAGTAGGGGAAGGGGTCGGTTGTTACGATGGTGTGCTTTGCGGTAAGAAGTAGAGGGGGGAAAATCATCAGGGCAGGGGAACAGGAGGGGCACCGAGCAAGCTGTGCAAGTGGCGTGGTGGGGTGTGCGGGCGGCTCAGGTGAAAAAAATGGAGGGGCAGGGCAACGGTGGCTCACCAGAATCGTCGGCAGAGTTGGCGTTGGCGTTGGAGCCAGCGGCGAGGGCAGAGCCAGACATGGTCGTAGAAGAGCGTGACACTCGGGCGCCGGAGTCGTTCATTACCATGGCAGCAGGAGGTGATCGCAGTCGGGGGGCTGCGGGAGCGACGGGAGCGACGAGACGTTGAGGTGTTGAGAGATTGAGGTTGTTCTCAACGACCGCAGGGGGGCGACAGCAACAGCTCGAACCAGTGGGTGGTGTACCAGTGGGTGTGCCAGTGGGAGCACCAGTGGAAGAACCTGTGGAAGCAGGGAGTGGGCGCCTAAAGGGGGGAGGCGCAGCTGACTGATTGGACCGACGTCGTGTTTCGTCGCCGTGGGGCAGGCGACGGTACGACAAGTACGGCGGCGGGCAAGGTGCAGGAGCCGAAGCAGGCAAGTGAGCAGCACCCGGTAAGAAGAAGAGCAATAGAGGGGGAAGAAAAGAGGTCGTCGTCTTCCCTTTTCTTTCAGCTGCTTCTGCTGCGAATACCCAGTTCAATCAAGAGCTAGGTATGACAGGACTGTCGTGGATAGTGGGAACGACAAAATGAATGGGCTGACCGGAGGGCGATGCGTTTCTCTCACTCGCGTACGTGTCGTGGTACTCTACTGCTGAGCAATGTACCTCGGTACGGTGGAGGGGTCGGCCGACGTCGCGAAAATCAGACAGGGTCCATTGGAATCAAAGATAACACGAGCTTGGTCGGCAGGACAAGAAGGCGCGACCGTCGAGGAGGAAGGCTTTGTTGCTCGAGTTTGGCGACTGCTACAGAAGGAGTATGGTGAGTAGAGCTGGAGAGAGGTTGTCGAGGAGAGTGAGAAGAGGGAGAGAGAGGAGAGAGAGAGAGGGAGAGAGAGAGGGAGAGAGAGGCTAAAGGGAAGGGAAAGAAAGAGAGAGAGCGCGGGATGGACGAGAAAGAAGAGGTACCTGGGGGTACGGGCGGTACCTGCCTCGTGCTCTTTCCTAGTGGTGTCCTCGCTACTGTAATCATACAGAGTAATACTGTCGGCTGGTATGATTGTTACGGCGTATTCGTACAGGTGAGATGGCGAATGCGTACAGTACTAGTAATAGGTATCGGTACCACTGTACAGGTGGTAATATCAGTGAGATGGTAGTGCTACTCCCGCACTCGGTATTGTCCCATCCCACTACAGGTAGCGGAGTACTCCTACGTACGGTACGGGGTACGAGTATCGCTGCGAGTGCATGTATACTCGTAGATGGATGCCAACACTATCTGGTACTAATTATCCTGATATTACCCGTACCTGGCTGGAACTGGGACGGAGCGACAGGGCGAGCGACAACGGAGAGCCATCCTGTTCACGGTGCGCGTGCACAGTGTCATCTTGTTCCGTAAAGAGGCGCGGGCCACTGGGCACCTCTAGTCCGAGGCTAAGTGGGTCCCCTGTCTCCTGCACTTGCCAGCCCCAGCACGCACGAGTCTGCACTTGGCACTTATTACTCACGAGGAGCGGCAGGGCAGTAGAGAGCTTGAGAGCCTACAGGTTATACGAGCATGTACGGAGTACGTAACCCGTACTTGCTGTAGAGGGCAGTTTCTGGGGCCTCTGGGCAGACGACGGATGGATCTCTATCCCATGCCACCATGGATGATGGCCCCATGCCCATGGAGATGGAGACAGATGATGCCGGCGGTTAATTACGGAGTCGGCCTACAAGGTACGGAGCATCGAGAAGACACGCTACCGACCAGCACGGAGTATGGGCGAGTAGAGTCGTCATGTACGTCGTATTATCGTTGAAACCAGGCCAGTACACACACACACACACACACACACACACACACCAAGGCCGCGACCAACCATCTCCAGGCCAAGACCGAGCCGCCAACCGGTGGGACCCTGCAGTCGACGGCATTACGGAGTATCTGTATGAAGTAATACCACGGGCCCACGAACAAGGTCCAGAGCTGTGTGCGAGTTAAAATGCTTGTACTCGTACGTCGTAGGCAGCACAAATCCTTCTTTCCGTTGGTCCAATGCGTGAGTGATATGCGTGCGTAGCTCTGCGCTGTCCTGGGGGGGGTGACCGCCAGGACAGGGGTGGGGGAGGGTCGACAAGAGGCAAACCAGAAAGTCAGACAGACAGGCAGAGAGAGAGAGAGAGAAAGAGAGAGGACTCGCCGAGGCAATGGTTTTACAGGAAATAATGGTCAAGGATCGCACCGGGACCAATGCTGATGCACTTGTGGTTGCAGCCTGTACAGAGTACGAGCGGAGGGTATACTCATACGTCTTTCCTGTACTCTTATCTTGATTCGTACATTGTCGTGATAGTACAATGTACGAGATCATTCTTGTCGTGTTCAGCATCCCTGCATCATCTCTGCCGTGCCCCCTCCAACCCCTCCCCCCCCCTCCAGGTTTATTGATGAATTGGTGATGGAACGAGGTAGTGGCATTCTCGTTGACGGGCAGTGACTGTGACGTACGAACAAGATGCGCCTCATCTGCCAAGGTTACAAGGCATCACATTCATTATTTGCCTGTACTCATACTACGACTTCCTACAGGTAGCAGCATTATTACTCGTAACAAGTAAAGAGCAACGCCACTCTGGAACTATTGCCATTATTGTTCGGGTACTGCCATCCGCAGTCATAGTAATGCATACTATATTGCCAGCAGTGGTAGGAGTAGGTAACAATACTAATACCGTTCGCGGATTCGTAATCTCCCTCTCCCTAGGTGGCTAGACAATTCCCAAAACGACGGTGTATTGATTGATGTTGGTTGACCGGGGCCGATGGCAGCATACCTTACCAGAGAGTCAAGTCAACTGACTTTTCTTTTTTTTTTTATCTACGAGTAAAGGAGTTTTTTTTTTTTTTTATCAATGACGATACTGCCCTTTCATCATACGGGGTACTCGCGTACACATGTATCTTTTCTGACCCTCTCAGTCAAATACAGGGACAGCTTTGCATCACGGGGCCCAACATCTACTAATGAATGGCTTACCTGGCTAGCACTACTAGATGCAGGATTACGATTGACGATTGAAATATCAATACTCCCCGTACATACACTGTACAGGTACGTGCTAATGTATGTAACTTTGTACCGTAGCGTAGCACTTGGCACGCCTCCACAGCCCGGGGGTGGGAAGGGGAAGAGAGTCAAAAGACTCAAGAGAGCTTGGCGTGTTGCCCAACAAAGCCGCTGCTGCCAATTGATGTAACCACTGCTCTCTGACGGGCATTCTACCCAATAAAGTTGCAGTCGAGAGAGGGCGAAAAATAGAATAAACTGGAATGTTGCCACAGGCTATGCGACACATCGGGTCAACCTTGCCTTCCCTTACCGGGGGTCAACCTTGGCCTTCCCTGACCGAGCAGAGCAAGATTTAAAGGTGGTTAGTAATGAGTTGCAGCCCCAGAACTTCTCTCAGCTGATCCGAAAGCGGCGTTTCTGTGGCGGAAATGCCTAACCCAACTCTTTTTTTCTTCTCCATCTCGCTCTTTCTTTCAGTCTCTCTTTTCCTCTAGTGCAGAATACATCTAGTACAGGAGAGAAGGGTACAGGTACGTCGAGAATACGTGCGGCGAGGATGGTAGGGCTATCACGCGTGGTACATGGGGCTGTTTCTTCTTCAACTGCACGCGGCTCATCCAACAGGACGACAGTATGACTACATGCAATGCATGGTAGTAAGAATACTCTGTACGATAGTGCTACCACAAACGAATAGTACGCACAACATAGTAATCACATACGACAAAGAGTACGGAGTACAGCTACAGCAGCCACCGCTACTACCACTATAACGTGGGTTAGGGGCTCGTTTGAGCTAGATGGACGTGACATGGGGAGCTTCTGCGGAACTATCGGGGGGGTGGAAGGGTACTCGACTGTCGTGATACAAGTCGGAGGTAGGAAAGTAGACTCATCTAGACACGACAAAGTGAGAGAAAAAAAAAAGGGCTACGGCGTGTTGTATCATTTCAAACTTGGCGTCCATGCGGCTGGCCAAGACGGCAGCAGATGCAAGCAACCTGCTTAGCTGGGGTGGTTGAGAAGACTTTGGACACTGGGACAGCAGCTAGCACACGGGCATGGACCCTTGCTCGGCAGAAGAGACAAAAGGTCTCTCGAGTCAAACGTTGCACACACACACACAAGGTGTCGGGACCCGGACGTGAGGTGAGAGTACTCGTCGTTCCGCTCCTACCCAGTCCAGAGAAGCTGGCTTTTCTTCGTGTTCCAGCCTGGCGTAGGGAGTGAGTGCCCAGGAATAAAAGCTGATATGTCATCATCATTCAAGCTCGAAAAATAGTATACTCCGTACTGCCATGGCAATGGCCGCTGTGAATTCATCCATGTGGGCAGGGCAGTAATACATGTACGATACTCGTATTGCAGCTGCTCGATGGATTGGGTTTAGCCTGATCTAGAGGAGTATTGAATAATAAATGGGGAGCTTGAGATGCAAAATATATCATGAAAATGGCGGTAATATTCCCTTTCTTACCGTTCCTTACTCCGTACTCCGTGAAAGAACAGAAGATGATAAATTAATATAATGATCGCTAAAGCGTTTGTCTTCCACGCAAATTATTGCTAGTTCGATTTCCGTCATTCAATATGAGAGGAAGAGGTCCAGTGACCGATTTGACTGCAGGGAAAATCATCCAATCACAGATGACAGCGGAAGAAAGTGTGCACTGTACAGATTACTCGTACAAGGGTCTTTTCCCTCTCACCAATGCCATTCCACCATGGTTGTGCCGCAGATGTCTTGAACTGGGTCGCAGGTATCCTCTCTCTGGGATGCGGCTTGTCCTGCGGGCGTACGGAGACACTTGCCTCGCAACCTGGTAACCTGCATAAATGGTCTACTGTCTCTTCTTTCCTACCACAACTTACTCATATGTCGTCGAGACACGACTTGCGACGTCTGCGTGACGCGCAAAACCACGTTGCTGGTCACGCGTCCTGGTAAAGAATGAATGAATCTCTGAAAACTGAACTAGCCCCACGATGAGCTAGTCCGTAGTCTTGATACTAGTCCTCCGTAAGGAGAGCTAGTACATGGCGGTGAGGGTGAGAGTGAGAGAGAGAGCAAGCACAGCGTTCGACTTGTATCTGTCACTCGGTAACACTCGAGGGATTGACATCAGTTGGCCATCTTGGGGCAAGCCAAGGAGGCGGCGCTAATTGTTCCAGAAGCTGTGCGTGCTGGGCTGATCTGGTTGCTTCGGGGGTGGATGCAATTCATCGTATGGTATTACAATACCTGTACGGGTTACTCGTACTAGAACTCGTAGGCAGTTAATACTGGGTGTACCCTTGAGCACGGGTACAACATACATGTACGAGCAATGGTGTTCTTCCCCTTGACGTGCATCTCGGTGGACCATGTGTCTCCGTTGTGAGCATGGAATCGTGGCCATGCGTGTGTGGTCCAATACCGTTCCCTGAGGTGGGGTGGGCGGCTCTTTTGGTGGCAGCATGATGGAACATGGTGGTAGAGGTATTATGCGACGTACCTGTTCTGTGGTGCTGTACGAGTATGTAATAACTCGTGGTTGGATGCAAGTATGGCTGTCTTTCTCTCTCTCTGTTATTCTTGGTTCTTTCCAAGTAGGTAGCGCGCCATCCGTCGCCTGATGATGAGCTGCAAGTCGACTAATAATACTCTCGTACCCCGTACGGATTCTCTCAAGGATGGTGAACAAAGGACTAAAGGTACGGTGGGTTAAACGAATGAGCGAACGTCCAGCGTTGAAAAGTGGCATCTCCATGCAGGTTGAAGCTGCAGGTCGGTGTGGGACCGTGTGAATTATGGCAATGGGGCACAGTCCCCGCAGATGGCAGGTGGCTGGTGGCTGGTAGGGTAGGCCGTTAGTTGGGAAGTGGCAGGCGGTTGCAGGCGGGTGAGAACTGGCTTGTCTGACTGCCTTTCGTAACGGTCAGTAGATCAGGAGTCATGTCAAGGTATCAGTAGAGCGGTGCGTTGATGTAC